TGTTTAACAAGTCTATCTCTTTGGACCCTAGGATTTTCATGTGGAAATTGAATTAGATCAGCTCAGCAATATGTGTTTATTGAGTTCTTATTGTGTGGTTACAGTAATGGAGTTTCTAATGTATCTCACAGTATACTAGTGAAGATACCTTACTAAGGAAAGTATGATTACAACTTTGGATACTGTTCAGAATGAAAGGATCAGTGCTTTAAGAGGTCCTGACCTAGGCTGAGGTCAGGAAAGGCTCTTCTGTGAGAAGGTAACACCAGCTAATGTGAAGGATGAGTAGGAGGTTACCAAGTAAAGGGATTAGGGTGTGGAATGGAGAAAATCAGAGGAAACAGCAAAGGCTCTGACTGAAGAAGTCAAGTGAAATTCAGTTTGTAAAATGGATCAGATTTGATCATGAATGGGGTTTGGGAGATTATGAGAGAGTAGAAAGGATTAAGAAAGGTTTCTCAATTTCTGACTTGTCCAACCTGATGACTGGTTGAGCCATTCACTAGTTTAGGGAACATTATAAAGGAGCCAGATATCCAGTGGAGGCAGGCATGGAGGGAAGAGCAAGAGTTTGATCTTGGACAAGGTGACTGCGGTCCCTTTCAGATAGCTACATGGAGATGTCTGGGAGGCAATTGGATATAAGAAGAGAGGTTTGGGTTACAGAGAGAAATTTGGAAGCCATTGTCGTGTATGAAAAAATCGAAGCCATGATAGTAGATGAGAGTCTATAGGGAGAGAGTTTATCATAAGAAGAGAAGGTAGCTCCTTGAGAAGTGCCAACATTTAATAGCCATGTAGAGAAGGGTGAAACAGCAAAAGAGACAGAAGTATCCAGTGATATAGAAAGAAGACAGAGTAAGTTATATCACTGAAGTTAAGAGGAAAATGTGTTTCGAGAAGAAGGGGGAATGGTCATCACTGTTAGAGTCCAGGAATGATCACAAGAGTTATGAAGGCATCAGGAGGTCTCTGGGAAACCTAGGGAGAACTGTTTTTAAGAAGTAATGGCAGGAGTAGATTGAAGACTTGAATGGCCACTATGGAAAACAATATGGAAGGTCCTCAAAAAACTAAGAATTAATCGACCATATGATCCAGCAATCCCTCTACTGGGTATTTACCCCCAAAACTTGAAAACTCATAACGGAAAAGATATTTGCACACCTATGTTCATAGCAGCATTATTCATGGTGGCCAGACACGGAAGCAACAGAAGTGTCCTATAATAGATGATCAAATCTGATCCAAAGCTGTGGTAATATATACAATGTAATATTACTCAGCCATAAGAAGAGATGAAATACTGCCATTTGTGACAACATGGATGGACCTTGAGATAATCACGCTAAGTGAAATAAAACAGACAGAAAAAGTTGAAAACCACATGATATCACTTATATGTGGGATATAAACCTAAAGCAACAAACAAACATGACAGACAAACAGAGACTCATGGACAGTAGACTAGTGGTTATCAGAGAGTGGTGGTGGGGGGTGGTGAGGGAAGGTATATGGGGTAAAAGGGGTCAAATATGTGGTGACAGAAAGAAATCTAATTTTGGGCAATACACACACACTGCCTTCTGTTGACTTGTACACCTGAAATTACCTATTAATACCTATTAATAATACCTTGTAGGATTAAATGAGTGTCCATGTATGTATATGTATACATATATGTTTATATATACTGCTTAAGGTGGACTTGATATTTGGTCAGTGTGCTCTAAATATTACCTAGCAATAGCAGTACTGGTAGTAGTTATCATCAGCCATCAGCATCTGGTACTGCCCTTATCATTCCCTTTTGATGATGCAGTGGTAGTATTTAACCCTACTGTACAGATGAGGCAACAGAATCAGAGATTAAATGATTTATTTGGGGCCACACAGCTGAGTAGATGAAAGAGACAGATTTCAAACTAGATCTGTCCAACTTCACCCTCACACTTTTACAAGTTCTGAAAGCCTGCTTATCTAGAATGTTTCCTCTGTAGCTCTCTTGACACTTGAGATTTCGAGGTTAACCTTATGTAAAGATGTGAAGTAAACGAAGTTGGTTTAATAGCTAATACCACTTCAGAGGCTTGATCTCTGCCAGCAGACCCTGATATGTTTCCCCCACCTCTCTATCCTGCAAATCTACTCTCCCTTCTGTGAAATCCCACCATTGCTTATATTGGCCATTTTTTTCTTTTTAAAATTTATATCAAAGATGGTGTGAGTTCATCTTGAAATTAGTGAATTGAGAATGGAAGGTATACATTATCCTGGGTAGTTTAAGAGGGGCATATTCCCTTCACTTCTTCCTTGGAGTATTAGCTGAAGAATGAAGTGATGGAAGTTTTGTCACCAGTTTGGCTTCCACACTTATTCTTAAAAACATTTCTGGTGGTATTTATCATAATTATTGTAATACGTATACTCCTTTAACCCACTTCTGCCCTATGACATAGGTTATTCCTCTGCTTATGGCCTATTCCATGATCAGATAACCTTCCCTTTCTGCCTCTTAATGCCTGAGGTTCTTTTAACTTTCCTTTGTGAAACTTAGAGACTTTTCCTGATGTTATCAAGTGCTTTATATTCTACCACAGATGACTTATTTTATAGAACATTTTATCTTGCAAATTTAGCATCATCAGACTATATGTGAAGAACATGAAGTTCTATAGAAGGAAAGTTATGTACATTTATTTTCTAAACTAATTGTAGTCATAACAGTATGTTATTGTGTTATTTTTTGGGGAGAATTGAGATAATATCACTTGAAAATAAAAACAGTTTGAGATACTGCCATGGACTTAATGTATTTTTCAGGATTAGAATAGCTTCTTTGTTGGATCTCCCCGATGATTTTAGCTTTAGTCCCGGGGTGGAGGTGGGGGCGGGGGGGTAAGGGGAATTTAGAAGGTGGGGAGGGGTGGGTATTCTTTTCAGAAGAGATAACAGTTGATTTTGGCTTCCCAGGAGTTGGCTCTGGTAAGTCACTGTTTTTCTTTTTCTTTTTTTTTAAATTTTAACAGCATTATTGAGGGATAATTTCCATTCCACAAAATTCACTCATTTGAAGTATAAAATTCAGTTGTTTTTCGTTAATTTATGGAGTTGTACGACCATCGTAACAACCCAGTTTTAAAAGTTTTCTGTTGCTCTAAAAAGTTCCATTGAACATATTAGCACCAATACCTACTCCCTCCTCTTGTCCCAGACAACCACTGATTTACTTGCTGTCTCTATAGATTTGCCTTTTCTGGACGTTTCGTGTAAGTGGAATAATATAGTATATAGTCTTTCACATCTGACTTTTTTCACTTAGCAAAATGTTTTTGAGAGTCTCATTCATGTATAAGTAGCTTGCTCCTTTTTATTTCTGAGTAATATTTCATTGTATGGATATTCTGCATTTTGTTTATCCATTCACCAGTCTATGAGTATTTGTGTTATTTCCATTTGGGGGTATGATGTAATGCTGCTAGGAACATTCACAGACAAGTATTTGTGTGGACATATATTTTCATTTTACTTGGGTACATTCTAGGAATGGAATTGCTAGGTTGTATGGTAAGTTTATGTTAAACTGTTTAAGAAACTGAAACTGTTTCCCAAAGTGACTATTCCCAGCAGCACTTGCTTTTGTCTTGGTTATAGCCATTACAGTGGATATGTAATGATATCTTACTGTGGTTTTAACATGCTATGCCCTAATGAGTAATAATGTTGAGCATATTTTACCCATTTTAATAGGTGGTTTGTCTTTTTTATTATTGAGTTATAATAGTTCTTTATATAATATATATACAAATCGTTTATCAGATATATGATTTACAAATGTTTTTTCCCAGTCTGTACCTTGGCTTTTTATTTTCTTAAATCTTTTGAAGCACAGAGTCTTAAAAATTTTAATGAAGTCAAATTTATTGTTTTCTTTTGATTTATGGGCCCGGTGACATCTCTAAGACCTCTGACTAACCCAAAATCAAAAAGATTTTCTTCTATATTTATTTCTAGAAGTTTCATAGTTTTAGCTCTTACATTTAGGTCTATGATACATTTTGAATTAATTTTTGTATATGTTATGAGGTAAAGGTCTGAGTTATTTTTTTTTTGCGTATTAATATTGAATTGTTCCAATACCATTTTTTGAAAAGACTAGTCTTTCCCCCATTTAATTGTCTTGTACCTTTGTTGAAAAGCAATTGACCAGAAATATAAGGTTTTATTTTAGAACTCTCAGTTCTGGGCCATTTTTGTGGTGATCTGGGTACCTTATTCTGGTACTGCACTATCTTTATTATTATATCTTGATGGCAAATTTTGAAATGAGGTAGTGTGAAAATCTGTTCTTTTTCAATATTCTTTTGGTTATTTTTTTTTCTTGTGTTTTAGAATTAGTTTGTCAATATCAACAGAAAGCATGCTGGGATTTTGATTGAGATTGCTATGAATCTGTGGGTCAATTTGGGGAAAATTGGCATCTTAACAATATTGAATCTTTCAATCCATTAACATTGCATATCTCTCCATTTATTTGGTCTTATTTGATTTATTTCATTAGCATTTTATAGTTTTCAAGCTATAGGTCCTGCACAAGTTTTGCTTATTTACATATAAGCATTTTATTGTATAGTGTGCCACTGTAATGATGCTTTCAAAAAAGTTCAGTTTCTCTCTCATCCTCCATCACCATTTCAAGTTTCACTCCAAACCTATCAGTTAAATTCTGCCAGGTTGTATTCAAAATTGGCCAAATACCAGATAGTATCTTATAAAATAGAATAAATAACCTCTAAAATTTTTCATTTGTAGTTTCCAAGAGGTAAAGGGATGACCAGTTTTTATCATTTTAACTCAGTGACTGGTCAGTAGTTGTTAAGTAAGACCATTATGTCATTCTGTTTACATTATCAATAGTATAAAACACACAAACCTTTTCTGAAGGGATTTGGGCTGTCAGGAAAGGGTGAGCGCATAATCTCCTGTTCATTCTTCTGTAGGCGTCGCAGCTTCCCTGGAAGTCTCAGAGAGCCCTGGGAGTATCCAAGTGGCCCGGGGTCAGACAGCTGTCCTGCCTTGTACTTTCACTACCAGCGCTGCCCTCATTAACCTCAATGTCATTTGGATGGTCATTCCTCTCTCCAATGCCAACCAACCTGAACAGGTACTTCTGTTCCATCCTGTGCTACCTCTAAAACTACTTTTTTCAAAAGAGGTGGGTAGGAAAGCATCCTGAGTACATATTTAATTTCTAGAAAAAGGTGGCACTTTTATTGTGCCTGTGGTGTTTTAAGTCCTACTCCTGCATTATTAGTCAGTTATCAGGAGAGGCTATCCTCTTTTTAAAAGACTTTCTTTTTAATTAACAGATGTCAAGGGAATTCTTCTGAGAATTTTATGTAGGAACCTGGAATTTCATCAAAAAACATCCCTGGCAGGAAATACCAAGATAGAAAAAGCAAAATATGTTTTGAAAGGAAGGGACTGGCACTAACATAGGTGGATGAGAAAGTACTTTTTAAAGATAGTGATAATATTAAGGAAGTAACATTAGATAGTAGTACTTGAATTGTTTGGCTAATTTCATAAGTATTATAAAATAAATTAGTGCACATGGAGATAGAAGTTACTAGTTAATAAGATATATCAGTTATAGGCAAAAGACCCATAATATGTGATACCCACTGCAGAAAATAACGCTCAGAAAATTAATGAATTGTGAACATGACTATACCTTCATTCTCAAAGCTAACTTATTTATGTTATGAAGCTTTTCTGCTTTCAATAAGCGTATTACCTAAAAATATTTGATAAGCTAAATTTTCCGATATGAAATTCAAATAGATATATTTAATAGAAACTTGTATTTCTTTAAACTGTGGAACCTTTGTAATTGGACTGAGCCTTTGAGATCATTTTGTTCAACCTCATTATTTTAGGAGTCAGTGACTGAGTCAAAGAGGCAAAGAAAGACTTGACCACAGTTACCCAAACTTTTGCAGTAGAGCTTGAATAGAACCAAATCCCTCACTCAGCCCAAAAGGCTTTTTGCAACACCATTCTGAGTCATCTTCCATGAATAGTTAACTTCAATGGTATAAACTGACATAAGAACAATAATCATAGGCTTGTATCTCTTCCTCCCTTTTATGACATTCATTTATAGTCAGTTTTTAACTGTTATCTTTTTTCGTGACCTAGGAAGCATGAGAATGGCAGTCCTAATTTTTTTGACTTTTTATTTTGGAATTAATTTTTTGAACTGGTAAAAATATGGGCTGATAGTAGGGTAGCATAAGACATTTTTAAACTCTGGTGAGAGATGAGGAAACAATGTTATTTCAATTTGGTGTGTAAGAATTAAGAACCCCTAGATACCTATGGACAGGTGCCATAGTAAAAAGTTGGTGACAACTCTTGGAAATAAAATTTTCCAATGTTTGATGCAGTCTACTGTCTTCTAGTTATTGTTATGTGTCTAGAAGGAGATGCAGTGGCCAGTTTATTTACTTTGCTTTCTTTTACAGGTCATTCTGTATCAGGGTGGACAGATATTTGATGGTGCCCCCCGGTTCCATGGTCGGGTAGGATTTACGGGTACCATGCCAGCCACTAATGTCTCCATCTTCATTAATAACACTCAGCTGTCAGATACAGGCACCTACCAGTGTTTGGTTAACAACCTTCCAGATAGAGGGGGCAGGAACATTGGGGTCACCGGTCTTACAGTTTTAGGTGAGTGACAGGAAATATTCCAGGCACTTTGGCTTTATTTATGGATCTACTCTCAAGCATATTTACTTCTGTCTGTCCTTCTACGCTCTCAGTTTGCTTGTGTCCTTTTTCTGTCTTTGCTTCTCTCAGACCCATCTCAGCGCTGCTTCTCCATGCTTCTTACACATAGTCTCCCTGCCCCTTACTCCATTCCAGGTGGCTCTCTAAAGCTTACTTCCCAAATGATTTTTTTCTGGAGGTGGAGAAAGGTGGTATAAAATACTATCAAAAGTGGCCTCTCACTTTTATTAAACTTCTGCTGGATAGGACTTATTGTTCAGAGCAAGTTAAATAAAGAGTTATTTATTATGAGTATGAAGCTAAAGTTTCAGCACACGTGAGAATAAATTTACTACTACTTAGTGTCTCTGTGGTACTGAGTAGGCTCAGCACAGCTCTTGGCTTACACCTTTTCTCCTGGCATAATTTAATACTGCCTTTTACTCTTAAAAGTATCCTTGTTTAAACGGTAAATTATCTGATCAATTTGGTTCATCTTTTTCAAGATGATGAACAATGACAGTTTAAAATTTAGGTCTTTTTGGACGTGGTTCCATATTGTTGTGGTTGGCACGTCTGCTTTATACACAGAAGGTCCTGGGTTCACTCCCCACTGGAGCCACAGTCCATGGTCTACGGCCATGTCACCCTGAACAAGCCCGATGTCTGATTTTGGAAGTTAAGCAGGGTTGGGCCTGGTTAGTACTTGGATGGGCGACCACCCAGGAAGACCAGGTGCTGCTGTAGGCATGAAAAAAAAAAAAAAATTAGGTCTTTTTGTTCAAATTAGTACTCTTGCAATATACTGGAAACTAGACTATCTAATAATTAAATCCATTCTAAACATGTTTCATTTGTCCATTCTACTGCCTCCTAAGTGAGTTCTTGTGGTAGAAGTGGCTAAATTCAGTTTATTTGGGGAGACCGAGTAAGTTCTTAGAAAAGGCTGATGCTTTTGATTGGTCCTCTGTCCTCTGCAGAATCTGCCCCCATATTCCTTGGTAAATTCTTCTCCTTTTCCCTTCCATTGTTGAGTCATTGGAGGACAACAGTGTTGGGGATTCTTGCCATTTTCCTTCTTTGGGTGAGGATATGCTACAGGCTTGGTGCTTTGTTCTTCCAGTCTTGAAACAGAATAAGAAAACCACGAACCAGGTTGGAAATGTCTATCCTGGAAATGTTATTCATTCTAATATATTAAAATTGTATAGACTTTACCGTACTCTGAGTATTGGATACAGAGTACTGTTGGAATTTAATATTATTCTGATTCTACCTATACATTAGGTAACTACCTTCCCATATTATCCAAGTTTATTTTTTCATTTTTTATAGGAAGAAAAAGAGCCTTTAATTTATCTTATAGTTAATGCTACTACCTTCAAAGAATTATTTTGGGTCACTCCACATAGCATCCCAGTGGCAACGTCGAAGGCAGTGAATTGAGGAGGTTGGTTTATCTCCTGAGGATTTCCTGAGATATTTTATTCTTCCTACTTATACTTTCTCATTGTTCTCTCTTTCCCCACCTACTTTCTTACCTGATTCCTCTATATTCTGCATTCATTTTCCAGTCATTTATTTTTGCAAGGTTGAACACATTTATTGAAAAGTATTGCAAGTACATTATCATTTGTATTTAATCTCTACTGCCTGAATTTCCCAATATGAAATACCAAACCATGGGCTTAGTTTATATTTTTATTTGCTTACTCATTTACTATAAACCACCACCTTCTTCCTTTGGGTTTTTTTTTTTTTTTTTTGGTAATTTTTGTTTCACGTTGTTTGTGTCCTTATTTGTCTTAATGATTATAAAATACCTACTACTAATGTTACTATTGGTAGTAGATATACTTGACCATTACACTAACTTCCCCCACCAGAAAGCAGAATTTGGTATAAAGTGGATTGGTCTAGTTTTTGTTTTAAAGTAACAAAGCATCTTATTAAGGTGGGCTTAGCCAGAGAAGCTGGCAGAGTAAATGGTTGCTCTTCTTTGAAATATCATCTTTACATGTGACCTGTTTCTTTATTTTTTTTAAATTTAATTGTGATAAAATACACATAACAGAAAATTTACTATCTTAGCCAGTTCCTAAGTGTACAGTTTAGTAGCGTTAAATACATTCACATTGTTGTGTGACCAATCTCCAGAATTCATCTTGCAAAATTAAAACTACTCATTAAACATTTCCCTCTCCCAACTGCTGGAAACCACTGTTCTACTTTCTGTTTCTATGAATTTGACTACTCTAGGTACCTCATATAAGTGGAATCATATATTATTTGTCTTTTTATGACTGGCTTGTTTCACTTAGCGTAATATCCTTGTTTCATCCATGTAATAGCATGTCAGAATTTCCTTACTTTTCAAGGCTGAATAATATTCCATTACATATACATACCATGTTTTGTTTATCCATTCATCAACCTGTAGACACTTGGGTTATTGCCACCTTTTAGCTATTGTGAATAATGCTGCCGTAAACATGTATCTATTCAGTTACATTTTTAAAGGCAGTATGCTGTACAAAAGATCATAAGAATTATTCTTTAGAGGAAGCAAGAGTGGAACCAAGACCATTAGATACCTTGAAACTATAAATAGAGGGTGTAGCCCCTTTTACATTCTTGCTCCCTGCTAAACGGAGTTGTAAGCCCTGCACCTATGCTCAAGCCCCGTGAATACTATATGACTATTCACCGTCTTTACTCATGAGGTAGTCTCCTGGTATGTGTTCCAAAAACAGTGTCATCTGAGGTTCCAGTGTGCTGAATGTTGATGTCTCCTCCATCATCATTTGGCTCGCAGTAAATGCATCCTTTATTGCTTACTCTTCTTATAGTTCCCCCTTCTGCCCCACACTGCCAAATCCAAGGATCCCAGGATATCGGCAGCGATGTCATCCTGCTCTGTAGCTCAGAGGAAGGCATTCCTCGACCAACTTACCTTTGGGAGAAGTTAGATAATACCCTCAAACTACCTCCAACAGCTACTCAGGGTATGTATGGTGTCACTTTACCCATTTTAATTAGTTATGGAAAATTATGATTATAAGACTCACAGCATAATTAACTTTAATAGATTTTTGAAAAATGACACACTATTTGTAACTGCCGAAAAGGCTATCTGGATCATTTTGTGTTTTCAACTTTAAAGAGAATGAAACATTTTCTTTTAACTTCTTATTGCTGCTTTTATGAAATGTGTCTTATCCAGTGGTAACTATATATGGAAATTCTGTTCTATTTTAGTGAAGATTTAAAATAGCTAAATAGTACCTTTTTTGTATTAACCATAAAATAATCCTTGAAGTTTATAACTGAGAATCTACTTCCTGCTTGAGACACAGCTGCCTGTTTTAGTATGAGAAACATCAGCATGGTTATGAGAGGGTTAATCATCCTGTTTTTAGCCTCAAGTCTAATTAGAGGATAAAGATGGGAAAGAGAACAGGAAAAGGCCCCAAATCATGGGCAATCTAGGAGCTGATCACACCAGACAGGTAAACATGGAGGAGGCTAGACTATCATTTACGGTTTTCTACATGTAAATCCAGCTATTTAAATTTGATATTAAGGGGAACACTCTTGGAAAATTGAGGAAAATTTATGTAAAATGAGGGGAAATTATAGAATTGTATATAAAGTCTTCTATTTCAAGAAAATAAAATTTAGCAGTCTCGAGTGTTGCATCATCTCTAATACAGAACATGTTTCTTTTAGCATTCTCAGGGCAGATTTACAAATCTTAACCTAAAGAGTTGGCAGTTAATGGGCAGGTCTAAAACAACCTCAGTTATGCCTGATAAATTTTAATCAAATTGATGATATGTGCCTGTCATGGAAAAGAAAGTCTTAATTTGTATGGTGAAGTTAGATATATTAAAGAAGTAGGACCACCAACCTCTTAAAGAGTTTGTAAGCTTTTTTTTTTTAAGAATCACAACAGAAATATTAATGGGCCTCCCATCACCTTTTAATTCGCCCAGATTTCATTATTTTGAAAAACTTCTTTCAACATAACTTTTGGGTTACTCTAATAATGTTTACTGCAATACTGTTGTTCCCTGCTGATTGTTCATTGCTAAATGTTTCAGCCACACTGTGGGCTAAATAGCATTTTTTGTGGACTAACTTAATAATCTGACCATTGTAAGTGGCATGTTTAAAATAGCTCTTGTCTTAAAATCCTGATATTATATTCAAATTCTAGATTTTCCTGTACCTATTTCCGTGACCGTTCACCTCCTTGGGCCCTTGTTATCCTTTTGTAAAATAAGGGATTAAACAAATGTACAGGATCATATTGTTGATTTTAAGATTCAATTATTTTTTATAACATTTTTTGAAATATTGAATTGAGTTTGGATTTACAAACAAACATTTAAAAGTGGTTGTTTATATATAAGTTGTGAAATATCTGTATAAAAGAGCTTTCCATAACTCCTTATTTTTGAATAAATATATATTGGTCAAGTTTCTTGGTATCTTTTTTGCAACTTGAATATTCTTTGGTACTTTAGGTACAAAAATGCACTTGAATGTGAAGATGAAAATGTTTGTTTTTTTTTATTATTCAAAATCTGAATCGTTTATCAGAATTACTTTGGATAACTTCGTCTATCATAATAATGCACATTAAATGAGTCTCATTTTTAATTTAAGTTTTCTTGGTGGCTACATTAATAAAATAGATCTCAAAATAGCACTTCACCTCAAAATAACTTAGAATTTTTTTCAGAAGATTTACTTTACTAATACGTTTGCAATTGCTGAAGATAAACTCAGGGTACATTTTCTGAGAAAAGAATATTTGACACTAGAGGAGAGCACCCCAGATTTGTGATTAGTGACAGGAACACAACTGGGGATTAGCACCATCCTTGTATATAGGGACTAGCTTGAAGGATCTTCTTCCGGCCTAATCTGAGACAATTTGAACATTAAAATAAATACATAATCCAGTGCATAAAACGAGAGTCTCTGACTCTCTACCGATATACATAAATAAATGACAAAGAAGGGAAAGCATTTTTTTTTTTTTACAGTAGAATGCCTATTAATATATGTAGAAGGAACAATGGAGTTAGGAAAAGTCATCGCTGTTGTCAAAATAGTCGACTAAAGTTTGATAAGGAACAAGATATTTACATAGTTCCAAAATATGTCCCCACAAATTACTGATTAATTACAAAGAAAAAATAGTACAGTTGACCCTCAAACAACAAGGGTTTGAATTCCATGGGACTATTTATATGTGAATTTTTTTCAGTAAATACTGTAAATGTATTCTCTCCTTATGATTATCTTAATAACATTTTCTCTAGTCTATTGTAAGAATACAGTATATGATACATATAACATACAAAATGTGTGTTAACTGACTGTTTATGTTATTGGTAATGCTTCCGATCAACAGTGGGCTATTAGTAGCTAAGTCTTTGGGGAGTCAAAAATTATATGCGGATTTTCAACTGTGCAGAGGAGGGGGTCTCAGCACTCCTAACCCCTGTGTTGTTCAAGGGTCAGCTATAGCTTTATAGTAGTATAAAGTATCCTGGTGGATACCACTTTACTAGGTTATCAAAATGAACATTACCAATATTGTGACACGCTGGTATCCTCTGCCTCCTAATATATGCACTGAGAAGGACACAGTGTCATTGCTGTGATTTACCTGTCAAAAACACCTAACTGAATCCAGTCATGAGGAAACGTCAAGCAAACAAAGGGGAAGATGAATCTGTTCCAGAATGAAAGAACCTTAAGGAGTTAAAACAACTAAATGCAATGCAGAATCCTGGGTTAGAATCTGGGTAAAATTGGTATAATTGATGAAATGAGTATAAATTGGATTAGATAATACTGTTGTATCGATGTTAAATTTCTTGAATTTGATGCTTGTACTGTGATTTTGTGAAGATTGTCTTTGTTCTTAGGAAGTACTAAGTACTTAGTGGTAAAGAGGCACAGTGTCTTCAACTCCTAAATAGTTCAGAAAAATATTTATACGTTTAGTGAGAATATGATAAGCCTAATTGGGAAAAATATGAATAGTTGTTGAATCTGAGTAGATGATAAAAGATATACAAGAGTTCCTTGTGGTATTCTTACAACTTTTCTGTAAGTTTAAAATTATGTCAGAATAAAAGTTACCAAAAAGTTGTCCTCATATAATTCATATGTGGATATTCAAGAGTTGAGTAAATTTAGAACCAGTATCCTGTGAGGTACACTTAATCTTCATACAAAGAAATAATAAAGTTGATTTAGTACTGTCCTTTTGGTATATAATACTTTTGAATTCTAAGCGTAATGCATGAGACAGTTCACCAGCTTTTACATCAGGGGTTCGCAACCTGGTACAGTTTCATTTGGCAGTGTCTGGAGACATTTTTCATCATCACAGCTGGGAGGAGGGTGCTACTAGCAGCTAGTGGGTAGAGGTCAGGAATGCTAAACATTCTATAATGCACAGGACAGCATCCACAACAAAGAGTTATCCAGACTAAAATGTCAATAAGTGAATTGCATACATAAATTTTCAAAATTAAAACATTCTTGCATTTCTGGAATAAAGTCTGTTTGTGATTATTTTTAAATAAATTGCGTCATTCAGTATGCTAATATTTTAATGGCATTTTTGCATCTGTGATCATAAGTAGGAATGGCCTATGATTTTTCTGTCTTCTATTGTCCTTGGTTCAGTTTTAGTATCAGATTATACAATGGCCTCAAAATGAGTTGGGCAGCTTTTCTCCTTTTTCTATTTTCTGAAGCAGTATGAATAAGAGATTACTTGGTTATTTTGTAGAATTTGCCTATAAAAGCTTCGCCTTGCTGTTGTGTTTTGTTGGTAGATTTTTGACTACTGATTCAGTTTCTCTAATGGTGTAGGTTTATTTAGATTTTCTGTATTTTTCTAGAAAATGTCTTTTTTGTTTAAGTTTATACATATTGGCATCAAGTTGTTCATAGTATTCTCTGTATGAAAACAGAGGAATGAATTTTAGAATGCAGGTTCTGGAATTAGAGGATGTGGTTGGAATCCTGGCTCCAGGAATCACTGACTATGTAATCCTCTGCCTTAGTTTTCTTATATGTTAAATAGAGACAATAATAGTAACTGCTTCACAGGGTGGAATAAAAATTAAATGAAAACACATACATGTAAAATGTTTAGAACAGCATCTGGCATTATAACTACTTAATAAATATAAGCATTTATACTATCATTACTCTTATGAATTTTAAAACTGTGTTCTCTTTTTCATTCTTAATTTTGTTTGTGCTTTTCATCTTAATTTTTTTTATCAGTCTGGTTAAATGAAGCTTTCGATTTTATCTAACTTCTTGTATATTTGTATTAATTTCTGTTCTTCATTTATTCATTCAGCAAGTATGTTTTAGGCATTGTTCTAAGTGCTGGAGGTACATCAATGAACAGAACAGAAATCTTTCCCTTTGTAGAGCTTACATTCTAGTGGCTGAAGATTGAACATAATGAATCAGGAAATAGGAAAAAAGATCAGAGTAAAATGGATTAGTTGAGGCATGAGGAGCCCCAATTTTGAATAAGGTGCTTAGAGTAAGTCTCATGGAAAAATGGTATTCTAGCAAAGGTTTAAAGATGATGAAGGAATGAGGCTTGTGACTGTGGGGCTGACCAAAGAGTATTCCAGGCAGAGGGAACAGCTATACAAAGTCCCTGAGGCAAGAATGTGCCTGCTGTTTTTGATGAATAGCAAAGATGTCACTATATTTGGAGTGGAGTGAGCAGGCAGAGAACAGTAAGAGCTATGATGTCAGTTACAGGTACTAAGATGGATAGCTCTATGTCTGTCTGTCCGTCCATCCATCCATCTAGCCATTCACCTATCATGTAATTTAATTGCATTATTCAAATATTCCATATCTTTACAAATATTTTATCTGTTTCAGCAATGATTTTGTGAGTTAAATGTATTTAAAAATCACACAGTAGTATTGTGGATTTGTC